TGGGTGCTGGCAGGCTTGCACCTGGCACGGGCACCATAGCCAGCCCGTGCCCCTTTAAGGGGTCCGGGGCCGGGAGGGGGCATAGAGTTTCCCTGGTGTTGGCCAGAGTGGCCACCAGGGAAACCTGGGGAGGGCTAGCCTCCCACTAGTTCGAATTAAGGGGCTACACACCCCTTAATTCGAACTAGCTAGTTCGAACTAGGCTTAATCCTCGTAAAATGAGGTTTACCTAGTTCGAACTAAGCGCTCCGTTAGTTTGATTCAAATTCGAACTAGCGGAGCGCTAGTGTAGCGCCTATTAAAGTTAGTTCGAACTAACGTCCGTTAGTTCGAACTAACTTTGTAGTGTAGACATACCCTAAGGGATTCTTTGCTTACTGCAAACCTACAATGAGCCTGAGTGTTCAACTGATTAGCACTGGCACTTTTAATTCATTTACACATTTAATATGCATTGACTTTTACCTCCTGAGGAAGGATAGGCTAGTGGATAAGGCATTGAACCAGGAGTTCAGAGTTTACATCCTGGACTTGCCTGTGTGACCATGACATGAGGCTAAATTCAGCCTTCATGTAAGTAGGAGCAACTCTACTCCGGGACTATTTACATCCTGGGGTTGCCTGTGTGACCATGACATGAGGCTAAATTCAGCCTTCATGTAAGTAGGAGCAACTCTACTCCGGGACTAATTCTGTGAACTGCAGGGCCCCTTAATGTTTGCAGGAGGTAGGCAGCACCTTTAAAGGTTCAGATCCCAACTGTCCTGATTTAAAATTATGACATACACAGCCACATATGCTGGAATTTAATCAGATATAAGGACCTGAGGGTATGTCTACACTACCCCGCTAGTTCGAACTAGCGGGGTAGTGTAGACATACCCTTAGAGACTAGCAAAAAATGTAGATAGTATCATGACCTTCTTCGATCAATGATGCAACAGTCAAAGCAGAAGTGAAATAGACTAAGTTATTTAATGCATCTCTGTATGATCTGAGCATCACATTTAGAAACAATGAATAACAATCTTGTATCATTTTCCCCTAAGAAACAATGAGATTAGTCCAGGAAGCTGGGGGTGGATGAAGAAGTTAAAAGCTCAATTAGGGCTTATGCAAATGAAGCCCGGGAAATTCAAATCCCGGGCTTCATTTGCAAGTGCGGTATGCCTACATTACCCTCCTAGTTCGAACTAGGAGGGTAGTGTAGACATACCCTGAGTGAGGTAGGAACCTCCATGACAGGTGAGGAGCCTAGGAAAGATGTGGAATAAAATTGCTCCAGTGCTGTAGGAAATGGGTGCTATTAATTGCATGCTTCTTGATTAAACAGAGCTAAATTTCCTTCCCACAGCAATCACAGGCAGGACTGAATATGTCTTTCAGTAGCAGAACAATGACCCCTAAAGCCCTGAGGGGAGATTCTGGGTCTACACAGGTTAGTATGCCCTCAGTAGTGCCAAGGCTTCTTCCTGCTCCCCTGCAACTTCCCCTTTTTGCCAGAGACACCCATAGTCTCTACGAACGAGGCCAAGGTCTTACCTCCGGATTGGGGGGAGGCTGGAGCTCTGGCTTTCCTGGGATGGCCAGGCCACGGGCGTTGTAGGGACACTGTTGGCATTGAGCCAGTTGGAAGTGGCTTCTGTGGCAAAGAGCTGCATTGAGAGGGAAAATACATGATTGCCTGCTTCAGAACACAAGCACTTGTAACACAGCCATGCACTGTGCCGTCTGGGCCTGGCCAAATGGAATCAATAGAAAGACTCCTATTGATTTCAGGGGGCATTGGAGTCGGCCCCATAAACATATTTGTGTGGGTCTTTATCACGGAGAAGGCCCACCTGTGGAAGTACAACTTTCCCATTGCTTGTGTTAGCAATGGTTTTCTGACAGATGGATGACAGTAAGCAGTGGGTAATATGGCCAGAAACACCTCAGGGGCACCTCGACACTGCACTGGTAGCTCGAAATAAGATACACATTATGAGCTATGCATATTGCACATCTTTCTTCAATCTTAGTTTGAAATAGCTGATTTTGAAATTTGGTGCTGTCCACACAGCACTTATTTTGAAATAAACCACTGTTCTAAAATGCCCCTTACCTCCTTGTGGAATGAGGTTTATAGGGACATTAGAATAGCACACCTGTTATATTTCAAAATAACGGGCACTTTCAAAAGATGCGGAATAGCTATTTCAGGATACCTCCGGTATCCCAAAATAACACTGCAGTGTAGGCATAGCCTGAGAGTCTAAGAGTGTGTCTACACAACAGTGCTTAACTCAAAATAAGCTATGCAAACTGAGCTACGTCAATTGCGTAGCTTGTTTCGAAATTGGGAAAGTCTACACAGCACTTATGTCGACACAGAGCACTCTTCCTCCAACTTCCCTTACTCCTCGTACAATAAGGGTTACAGGAGTTGGAGTAAGAAGTCCTCCAGCTTGACAGTATTTGGATACTATTTCAAAATAACTGTCTGCTGTGTAGACATGGACTAAGTTATTTCAAAATAACGCTAGTGATTTCAAAATACTGTTGCCATGCAGATGTACCCTAAGTGCCACTGACTTTCAACAGGACTCAGGTTCCTGAATGTTTAGATTTTCTATTAAATTTGGTCTAATATTTTACAGTCGTGATGTTAATATTCACTAGTGATGATGGGTGCATGCATTATAACCCAGAAAACAGGTTCTACATTGGACACCTACATACCTTGCCAAAATAAAAGTGAACTGAAAGACAACTTTCCACCCCCTTAGATGCTTCTTGGTAACATATTATGGGCCAGTTACAGATTTTTCACAATTAAAGCGTTTTTTTCTTTCCCGTTTGTGTTTAAAAAATATGTTTTCCTGACTTGCTTCTTTTTCTTGGAGAACTCATTGGCAGACCTGTAAAGTGACATCACAGCTGCAGGCAGCAAATGGAGCTGCACTTCTTCCAGCTTTGAAAGCAAAACCCCCAGGCTCTAGGAGATGAATCTTGTTTGTTCAATGCAATCACTGCGCCATGGTTTAGTTGCATAACTCTCGTTGATTTGAATAGGGCAAGTCAGCTACAAATCCTGAGTAAACTTTGAAAATGCAGGTGCCCAAAGCAACGTACCTTGAAACCTTCCTCGTGGAGCTGCTCTGCTACACCCAGGAATTTGGGACGGAAGGAATGCTGAAAAGGAAACACAACAGGGAGCATCAAAGCTATGCCCTAGCAATGGGGCATCCTGCCCTTCACTGGACACCTGGGGCTTTTTCAGAATATGCGATGAGGGAGACATATTTCTTTGCTTGATCAATCTGTGTTCGTGCACATGTGTGCATGCACACACACACACACACACACACACACACACACATCAGTGTATATGTATATACAGTGTGCGTGTCCATATTTGTATAGTCATTCCATTTTTCCCCCTCAGTAGATGGCTCTCCGTGTCATTTCATGAAGGAAAGACACTTGCAACATTAAAATGAATTGGCTGGTATGAGACTAAGCCCAAACCCTACAATCAGCCAAGATACCTTGATACACTAAGGCGATGTGCGCTCCCAGAGTGTTCTACTGCAGTTAAAGGGCCCTGCATAATAAACGTCAGAACAAGTGAACTTTTACAACATGTTTTACAAGCCATCTATGGATTTAGTTACCATTTGTTTTCAGGCTGCTCTCTAGCACTTGCTTTCACAGCCAGCTACGGCAAACCCAGAAGAACTATCAAGATGTAGCTTCAAAGGAGAAACACTTGGTGCTATGTTTGCAACTATATGTGTGTGCCTAAGGTATTTAGGCACCTGATTGCCATTAAAAACTAAGTGAAGTGTCCAGATCCCCTAAGCAGTTTTGAAATTCTCTCTCCTAATGCTCTTGCAAACCCAGCAACTGCACAGAACAAATGAGGATATCCCAGTGTTTGCATCTCATTTTGCACCCATCTTAGTGCAACGCGGGAAATGAGATTGTAGTAAGGGCACGTGCCGCCTCTGTACTTCAGGGGCTTAAGTAGCACAGAGATCAAAAGCAACATGTGACCTCTCCGTTGTATAGTCATTCTGCATCTCAGATGTAATGCGACTCTGATGAGTAAAGAAGCAGGACTATTCAAAACACTTTCTGCATTGGAGCTGCTGCTGCTCTTGCCCAGGCAGAGGTCACGAAGGGCAGAGTAAGAATATTTTCTAAGAAAGAAAGAGAGCCAACAAGTCCTTTCAGCTTCACAGACCCCGGCAAGAACCTTATAATAAAGCCGTTTCTGATCTGCACACTACCCGGAAAATACAAATATACAACGTGACATGATTGGCAGCTTTCCAGCCAGAGAACTGCTCTGCCTTCTAGTCAGGGGTGTTGGCTTTCACAACAATCTTATAAACTTCGATCAAACCTGTACTGAGCACTTGTGACACATAAAACAGCCTCTCCACCAAAAGAAATTACATCTGTCAGCTTGCATCTGAGCAGGCCCCAGATTGAAAAGCTGACTGAAAGTACCTGTGTAAGAAATCCTGAGAAACTAAAGCACAAGCAGATTTAGTTACTGGAAGAGATTTATTGCAGGAGGAGGAGGTTTATTTCTTTTCTTTAAAGGAAACGTTATATATCCCGTAATACCCTTCTTGCATTGCTGGGATACCTGGCTAGCCGTAAAGGGCTAGATCTTCAACTGGTGTAAATCCGGGACTTCAACAGAGTTACATCAATTTACATCAAAATCGAGCTCAGTATGCACATGCAGGATCCTGACCCTGATGCTTTGGTCATGAACTTTGCACTTAAATCCAATGTGGGGGCAGACAGAGTTTTTTGCTCCTAAATATCTAGGGCAGTAGATATGGTAGAGGGGTGCACTGAGAGGATAGGCTCACAGTGCTGGGATTTAAAAATACACACTCCTTTAATGTTCTCAGCATTTTAGGGCTATCCGCGCAGATGTAAGGCAGATGCAGACCACCCGGTAGGCAACACTGAATAGCCTAATCAGGGAGGAAAATGAAAAGAGCTTTTCAATTATTCTTGTAGAAAATATTGCCTGGCAAATATAGGGTCTTAGCCACCCCCACATTCCACAGCTTTCCATTATTTAAAAAATGGAGCAGATCGTCAGCTGTTGTAAAATGGGGAAGAGCTCCATTTAACTTCAACAGCATGCCAGTGATTGAGACCATCGGAAGACCTGACCTGTAAAGTGCTGTGGAGCACCAGATTACACTGCATTCTACCGCCCCCATGAGTATGATATGTAACCTGGCAGGGACTTTGCAAGGAATGCGAGAATTAGTGCCTCTTGGCTATTTCTAAGGTGGCGATTCCATTGGACGACAACAGTTGAGACTCATACTAGGATGGAGCAATTGGCACATCTCAAAGATGCCGTGCGTCATTAATTGAAAATCTTGGGTTCTAGTCACAGGGTTTGATCAAAAACGTAGCCAACGAGTTAGCCCTTTAGAGGGAACAACTGTGCCAGAAGGATGCCATTTTGAGGGAAATCATAGAATCATAGAATAATAGGACTGGAAGGGACCTCAAGAGGTCATCGAGTCCAGCCCCCCGCCCTCAAGGCAGGACCAAGCTCCGTCTACACCATCCCTGACAGATGTCTATCTAACCTGTTCTTAAATATCTCCAGAGAGGGAGATTCCACCACCTCCCTTGGCAATTTATTCCAATATTTGACCACCCTGACAGTTAGGAATGTTTTCCTAATGTCCAATCTAAACCTCCCCTGCTGCACTTTAAGCCCATTACTCCATGTCCTGTCCTCAGAAACCAAGAGGAACAAATTTTCGCCTTCCTCCTTGTGACACCCTTTTAGATATTTGAAAACCACTATCATGTCCCCCCTTAATCTTCTTTTTTCCAAACTAAACAAGCCCAGTTCATGAAGCCTGGCTTCATAGGCTTCTCTAGACCTTTAATCATTCTTGTCACTCTTCTCTGTACCCTTTCCAATTTCTCCACATCTTTCTTGAAATGTGGCGCCCAGAACTGGACACAGTACTCCAGCTGAGGCCTAACTAGTGCAGAATAGAGCGGCAGAATGACTTCACGAGTTTTGCTTACAACACACCTGTTGATACAACCTAGAATCATATTTGCTTTTTTGGCAACAGCATCACACTGTTGACTCATATTCAACTTGTGGTCCACTATGACCCCTAGATCCCTTTCCGCCATGCTCCTTCCTAGACAGTCGCTTCCCATCTTGTATGTATGGAACTGATTGTTCCTTCCTAAGTGGAGCACTTTGCATTTCTCCTTATTAAACCTCATCCTGTTTACCTCCGACCATTTCTCTAACTTGCTAAGGTCATTTTGAATTATGTCCCTATCCTCCAAAGAAGTCGCAACCCCACCCAGTTTGGTATCATCTGCAAACTTAATAAGAGTACTCTCTATCCCAATATCTACATCATTGATGAAGATATTGAACAGTACGGGTCCCAAAACAGACCCTTGAGGAACTCCACTTGTTATCCCTTTCCAGCAGGATTTAGAACCGTTAACAACAACTCTCTGACTACGGTTATCCAGCCAATTATGCACCCACCTTATCGTGGCCCTATCTAAGTTATATTTGCCTAGTTTATCAATAAGAATATCATGCGAGACCGTATCAAATGCCTTACTAAAGTCTAGGTATATGACATCCACCGCTTCTCCCTTATCCACAAGGCTCGTTATCTTATCAAAGAAAGCTATCAGATTAGTTTGGCATGACTTGTTCTTCACAAACCCATGCTGGCTATTCCCTATCACTTTATTACCTTCCAAGTGTTTGCATATGATTTCCTTAATTACCTGCTCCATTATCTTCCCTGGGACAGACGTTAAACTGACCGGTCTATAATTTCCTGGGTTGTTCTTATTCCCCTTTTTATAGATGGGCACAATATTTGCCCTTTTCCAGTCTTCTGGAATCTCCCCTGTCTGCCATGATTTTTCAAAGATCATAGCTAAAGGCTCAGATACCTCCTCTATCAGCTCCTTGAGTATCCTGGGATGCATTTCATCAGGACCTGGTGACTTGCTGACATCTAACTTTCCTAAGTGATTTTTAACTTGTTCTTTGTGTATCCTATCTTCTAAACTTACCCTCTCTCTGCTTGTATTCACTACGTTAGGCACACCTCCAGACTTCTCGGTGAAGACCGAAACAAAGAAGTCATTGAGCATCTCCGCCATTTCCAAGTTCCCTGTTACTGCTTCTCCCTCCTCACTAAGCAGTGGGCCTACCCTGTCCTTGGTCTTCCTCTTGCTTTTAATGTATTTATAAAAGGTCTTCTTGTTTCCCTTTATGCCTGTAGCTAGTTTGATCTCATTTTGTGCCTTTGCCTTTTTAATCTTGCCCCTGCATTCCCGTGTTGCTTGCCTATATTCATCCTTTGTTATTTGTCCTAGTTTCCATTTTTTATATGACTCCTTTTATATGACTCCTTTTTTAAATCAAATACGTCCTTTTTAATCCTGTTTTTTTTTTTCTGCATCCTATGGGGAACGTACTCGCCTCATCTCTGGGTAGTTAATACAAATGAGACAAAGATGTTCTAGAGTGAAGAATCTCACTCTCTAAGCAAATTTCCCCTGGTCCCATTCAGGGAAGGTAATTTTGCCACCCTTGTGGCTACTTATTTCTACCTTTTGTACTCCAATGGCTTGGCAGGACCTAAAAGTACAGCCTGGAAAGCAAACGAAGCCGTTCATCACCAAACACTGAAATGTCCATAAGGGAATGTTTATGTGCAACTCAGCTGGCCTCACCTCTCCAGTAGATCAAATGTACCATCTGTGTAATGGCATTAGGGATCGGTTATTGTCCCAGTACGTCACTGCCCCCTACTGGATGCAATCAGCCGCCCTTCCCATGGGGTGCCCAGCTGATTGCACCACAACACCTAAGAGAGATGGTCCTGTAGTTGAAGAGCCAGGGGTTAAGAGTTTTGGGAACGCTACCCTGCCATGACATTCTGAATGGTCATGGTGTGTATATGTATCCAAGTATATGGATACTTTTCCCTTTATTTCTGAATCTGTATTGTCTACATGAGGGCACATCACCACCATGTTGGATTGAGCGATCTGTTCTCAAGGATGCACATCAAACAAGAACAGCATCAGACAAAGCTCCTCCACCCTCTTCCCGCTTATTATTTTTCCCTGCCTGCTTCCAGCGTTGTCTCCTCATGCCACCCTGCTTCATTTACCACCATTGTTGTTTCAACCACACCTATCACTTTGCAGTTTAATTATCTAGAAAAACATGCTGTGCTGAAGCACCGCAAAAAGACTTATCCCCCCGATTTGTTGTTTTCTTTCCCAACTGTCCAACGCTCCTTGGAAAGGACAGCACCCGGGCTGCTTTCTAAAGTTTCTTTGTTTGTTCTTTTTCCCTTCATCCCAAGCACCATTGGCTCAGATTAACAGGTGCTGGTGCAGATGTCCTACTAATCATTTTGTAACTCACATCACTGCTCCCTCCCTACTCTTCTGAAGCACTGGCATTAGGCAAACAGGCTCAGACTGTATCCACCAGTACTCTCCGGAGCTGACATGTTACAATGTTAGCCCTGCCATGATTATCTGCAAAGATACCAACAGCAGGGCAGGTGCCCCATGGGAAGAGCCCAGGGTCTGGATATCAAGCAAGCTCTTTTATGTATAGTTACAGTCATTAGCAGCTGTGGCTTAAATCCATTTATCATTCTGATGAGTCCAAGAAGAAGGTTGGACTCGCCGCTGTGTTGCCACTAGTGCCATTGATTTACACGTTGCTTCATTTTCGGTCATCTTTTAGGCACCGTCCCCCATACAACCCTTTCAAATTCCCCAAGGACTCCCAACTACCAATGAACACTGGGACCTGATTCACTTGTACAGGGAGAGCAGCTATAATAATCATCTCTTGGCTGCAGAACCCATGTTGTTTTAATTATTTGTATTGACTTTGTGCCAGCATATAGGGCATAAGCTAATTACAAACACAGCAGGAGCATGGGGCAGAGCTGTGGAGTGTTTTATTGGGACCCTCGAATTTTACAGTCTCGGATGATGTGATTGATCATCGGCGGCACACATGAGACCTTGAGGAGTTTTATGAGCATATCTGACTTCAGTATCTCCTGCAGATATGATTACCCCACTGCAGAGAAACTGTACTTGATAGGGGTGTGTGTGAGCGGGGGGGTTTGCTGGCTACTTTTTTTTATTCTGAGATCCCATTATAGATCCAGAACTGTAAACAGATCAGGGCTTTTCCCAAGGCAAATACCTCCTTAGCGCCCTGTGCAAAAGGCCTTGCCCTGAAGGACTTCCACAATTAGACCCAAAAATGGTTGATTCATGATTCCACAAGGGGGCCATACAAACAAAAAGTTCTGTTGCCTACCCTACATTCTGGAGATGCAGCCTGTAGGATGGTTTGGGTTAAGAAATAAGTAGGTTAGGGGCTTAATTCAGTAGGGAAATGAAACCACGTGCTATAGGAAAACGAGAGTTAGCAAGGACTGGCCCAGGGTCAGGCTATCTTTAGGCTTTGGTTATTGCTAGTCTGAGCAAAGTTGTTAATGAGTGTTTTTAGCAAGTGTGAATGTTTTATTAAAATGCCATCTATACTGACAGTGTGGGAAGGACAGTGGGGCAGATAGTAATTTAAATAATGTGTAATGTCAAGAGCCAGTAAGAAGGTGGCAGATATCTAATGATGGCAACTATGTTAACTAGCATGATAATGGAGCATAGAAGGTGTAGTTTTTCTAAATTGCAAGAAAGCGCCAGTCAACATCCAAAAGGTCCCATTATGTTCCAGGCTGATAAGTTTTATTTACTCTGCTGTCACTGATCCCCCATTGATAGCCTATGTCATCTTTGCCTGTGAGTATAACAGTGGCATTTGTGTAGGTAGTAGATGCATGCCTCCTTGCTTAACTAATCATTTTGCTTTGCATGAAGTTTGGTTGTATCGGTCCAAATGTTACCTTGTTTTGTCCCCAAAGTGGGAGGCCAACCAAATCAAATGCTCCCGTTGGCTTCCAAGGCCGGCAGCCAGCAGGGGTGCCCTCTGAGTTCGATTTAGTGAGTCTTAACTAGACTCACTGAATAAACTCCAGAAGATCGATTGTGGCAGTGTCGATCTTCTGTCTAATGAAGAGGTGGCCTCGGTAAATATTCTGTCACCAACCTAGAGGCCTGAACTTGGAAACTGAGTTGGGTGTTCCTGCACCTTTCTCTTTTAACAGTTTAATAACTGGGAATATTTCAACATCAGTGTGGCAGGGAGCACAAAGGAGCAGGACTAGGAGCATCAAAGCACAGCTCTGTCTCAGACCCACTCCCATTTCACAGCTTCCTCCTTTCGGTGCCTGGTACTGTGTGCTTCCCGCTGCCTGACAGCATCAGCACAGTGCTGGCTGCAGACTCCAGTAGGCAGGAGAGGAAGCCGCCATCCATACACATCTCCAACCCTCACAGGTACTGACAGCCATCCTTACATTCCTATTGGACAGCCAGAAGTGCAGGAAGCAGTGGAGGAATTTTTTTCCCCTTACACCTACCGACAATGGCTGTATACTTTGCAAAAACAACACATCCTTCAGCCTAGAAGACTCTGCTACAGCTCTGCCTGGTGGTGCAGCCTTGGGAGAGATGGAGGGAAAGGACAGCCATTTTCTGTCCAAACAATTACGCCTTGGTCTACACTAGGGCTTTATTTTGAAATAATCCCCTGTTCGTTTGAATTAATAAGCGGAGCGTCCACCCAACCACGCTTGTTATTTCAAAATAACGGGCTGCTTATTTCAAAGTCTGTCCTCCTGCTTTCCTCGGAGAACAAGCCTTTTTTCGAAATAGTTCTTTCCAAATAGCATTCGTGTGGACGCTCCGCTACTGCTGTTTTGAAATAACCAGAGTAATTGGAACGAATGACTCCCCAGTGCTTCCTGGGACTCTAAGTCGAGGGAGCGTGTCCACATGAACAGAGCCTGCCTCGGACTAATTTCAAGGCTTCCCTGTAGTGTGGACCCACTAGTTGGATTATGTCATTTTGGGAGTTATTAAATTGATTTTAGTTACTCTGAAATAGTTTCCCAGTGTAGACATGGCCAAAGTGTGCCCATTAGCAGAATTCCCCTTTGTGGGCTTGCAGAATGGACTTCTGCCGCAGCATGGCTGTGATCTGCCCAAAAGCTCAGGCAGCAGGATCAGAGAGAAATGCATGAGAGACATGAGCACTTTGTACGGCTCAGGGACAGGCTTTGATTTCTTCCCCTGGGGCTTTTTGGCTAGAGGGGTTCTGGGCTTCTGCTGTCACCATGAGGCAATTCACCGTGAGGGGTCTGGTCTCACGTCTGCCCACAAAGATACCCCCTACAGCTCCCATGAAGCCAACAGATGCTGTGTGAGCATACGTGAGGGAGAAATCTCCCATTGCAAGAGAAAGCAAAG